CAGCCAGTTCCAGCAGACACATGCAAAGACTGAGTTAATAGGTCAGAGCACTGGGGTGGTGTGTGTGTGTTTATGTTTGTGTGTGAGAGAGAGATAGAGATATCAAAGCGCGTTCTGTAATTGGAGGGACAGTTGGGAAAGCCCTCTTGGCATTTAACTGGGAAATCCCAAGCACTGGTTTGGAGGAGGGGGAGGCGTGTGGGAATTATTTTGGGGAGAACCCCCCCTCAAAGGATGGAGGAGTGGTGCTCACAGTATGTAGCACTGTGTGTGTGAGTGTGTGAATTTAGCAGCAAATGTGTGTATTGTATGTTTAATGTATTTATAATTGGGATTTCTGTTTAAGGGTATGTATATTGGTTTTGTGAGTGAGTGTGTGTGTGTGTGTGTGTGTGTGTGTGCTGTGTGTGTGTGTGTGTGTGTGTGTGTGTGTGTGTGTGTGTGTGTGTGTGTGTGTGCAGCTGTGACACGCAAAAGAAGGCCAGGGCCCCCGAGACAAATGTGGCCGCTTACCCGCTCGGTTGCCATGGAGACGGGGAGATGGGAAAGGCTCTGTTGGAATTGCCATTAAAATGGAGAGCAGCACACCACTGCATGCCTGCACACACATGCACACAATGTATTCACATGAAGACAAAGCAAGCATAAAGTCTCTCTCTTGAACACACACATACATGAATGCACGAATGGCTACTGATTCCTTTGCATTCGTAGTGCTTCGGTATTTATCAAATGAGAGATAAGATTGTTGTGGTTGAAACCCAGCCAAAACTACAGCATCAATATCACAATTAATGGCTCTTTATTCTCCTGGGAACGGGTGTGTGTGTGTTGGTGTGTGTGTGTGTGTGTGTGTGTGTGTGTGTGTGTGTGTGTGTGTGTGTGTGTGTGTGTGTGTGTGTGTGTGACAACAATAAATTAGTGCTGTGAAAGAGAAACTAGCTGGACTCAGCAGACAAGACAGGGAGGGAGCTTGTGAATGCTTTTACCAATGTTGTTTGAGTGTGTGTGTGTGTGTGTGTGTGTGTGTGTGTGTGTGTGTGTGTGTGTGTGTGTGTGTGTGTGTGTGTGTGTGTGTGTGTGTGTGTGTGTGTGTGTGTGTGTGTGTGTGTGTGTGTGTGTGTGTGTCTTTGCTTTTGCTAGTGGGCACATTTTTGAAAAGCAAAGGGATGTTAAGACTTGGTCTTGAGGTTTAGGCTTAGGTTAAAGTTAGGGTCAGGGATTAGGAAAGGAATAATGTCAATAAGGGCCCTTGCAAGTAGGCCTAAGGTTCTTCAAAAGTTAATGAGCTATTGGCTTTTCTTTGCTGCCAAGTAATGTATATTGGATGTCGTTGAAGGGATATGTAAGTATAAATTAAACAGTCAAGCTTCAATTTGCTTCTCACCTCTCTTCCTTGTCACAAACAAAACTGAGATTGCAGAGTAAGCCATTCAGGAGGCCCTAGCAACTCACTCTCGGCTGTCGCCCTTCCCTCCTAGTAACTTATTTTGTTCCCATTTAATTGTCAAACCATTTAAAAAGATAATTGTGCAGTGGAAACAGTTGACATGTAATGTGTTAAGTATCAGATACGTCTGAACTCATTCATCAAAGGTGTTTTCAGAACCATTTTGCTCATCAGCTAATTTTCGACAAAGGCAAAAACCACCTCAAGCATGCAGAAATCTCTATCACAATAAATGTATGATTATGGAAACACAGTTGCTGTTGGTATGTCTGTTAAGTTATTTTTTGAAAACTGCCTCACGTATATGTTATCACTTGTAGCAAGCTAGCTTATTAAGCTAATGTTAGCCTAACATGTTAGCTAAAAAGCTGCCTACATTATATTTGACTTTAAAATGTTACAGCTGGCTTGTATTAAAACAGGAATCCAATAAAATGATCTTAAATGGTTGTATACTTCACATGATATTGTGTTAATAGACTAAATGTCTACAAAGCTGCACCCCGTTGAGGATCAGTGTTAGCGTACATGGATATCGTTCCTGTGCCGTCAGTTCTAGTATCATAATCTTTAACCAACTTTTAATACATTCATGTTACACAGTCCCTGAATTGCAGACTGACAACAGTAAGCTTACATTCCCTGATGCATTATCCTGCTGCTTTACATTGGTGATTTTGTGTGTCTGAGTAGAGTACTCCTGAGCTGGATTTCGTCTAAGGCATGAATACATTTGTGTGTGTATTTATAAGCCCAGCAAGGGTAGTCAGTCCACACACCCACCATAACGAAAAGATTAAACTAAATGTTATAGAAGACCTCTGGGCTAAACACTTGATTCCCAACTGACTTCCTTGTTTTGTTCTACTAAAAAAAGAAAGGATGGTAAGGCAAGGCAAGGCAAGTTTATTTATATGGTGGTGTTAGGATGGCTGCAGCTTTGATGCATGGGATATTTATGTGAATTACACAAGTTTTCATGGGAGATCCTGCACTTGTGTCTGTTTCTTGCTCTGTCCTGTTTCTTTTGTTGGCTGACTGGCCTCATGTGTTAGACCTAACAGATTCAAGTATTTGCCCTAGGCCTAGGCCAAAAGCTGCAAAAGATGCAGTTTCATAATACTGCTTCCTTGCTGCCTGCATTTTAATCCTTTTTTTCAGTCTCTGGATCCCCCTGCCTTCATATCTAGTTTGTATTCATCCCTACTCCTTTCTTCTTAGATTCTCTTTCCCTAATTTAAGCTGCACCTCCCACTCCTTCTCTTGTTGTCATAAATCCTCACAGACAAGGAAGATGTATTTGTGTTTCTTTCTTTCTCCCTTCATTTTCAATGTCCTTTAAATATTATCACTTACTTTCAGCTTTAAAATGTATTAGTCATTTCAATACTTTTCACCAGCATTTGTCTCATTTGTAAGTATTTGAACTTGTCGGATCTAATTGTTTGCATTAGAGAAAAATACATGTCTCATTAAAAGACTGTATTTCTGCAAAGCTGCATCATCAGTGTGACACCATCAGAAAACCCAATCAGCTAATTTGTCATGATTGAGACACATGTTCTACAAGGTTGGACCAAAAAGTACAAATTAAAAGTATTTCTTCAGCAAAGTAAAGTTTATAATAATTTCTAAAATCCATTACAAGTGTAAGAAGTTGTCTGCAGTTGCTTTGGGAAGAGTGGCACACTACGAGGGCTTGGTGGAGGCTGTAATTAACGGCGAACACCATCCTTCTGCTGTGCAGCTCATCTTCAAAGGACTGCTAAAACAAAGAGATTTCAGAGGAAGCCTGGCAGAACATTATCTCGGCTCCAGGTTGGCCTGGTTTATTTTTAACTTAATTAACGCTGTGTTACTTTGACAGATCATTTTCTAGCTGTGATTGAAGCACTCTTTCTTTCACAGATCTGTGTCAAAGTGTGTGCATAACAATTGCTTAAACGAATACTGACACTAAAGCGTGAGGATTTCACAGTAAGTCACTGCGCAGATGTCTCATGCACGCTGCCAGTAGTTAAAGAGTCATTCAAATTAATGAATAAGACTGTAGGCCTGTTTAAAGGATGCAGACAAAGCAGAGAAGGGAGCGTGATGTCACATTTACACTACAGTTGCAAGAAAAAGTATGTGAACCCTTTGGATTCTCCACACATAGCGTTGTGTGTTCCTTCCAAACAACTCAACTTTGGTTTCATCTGTCCACAGAATATTTTGCCAGTAGTGCTGTGGAACATCCGGGTGCTCTTTTGCAAACTTCAAACGTGCAGCAATGTTTTTTCTGGACAGCAGTGGCTTCCTCCGTGGCTTCCTCCGTGGTGTCCTCCGTGGTGTCTTCCCATGAACTCCATTCTTGTTCAGTGTTTTACGTATCGTAGATTCGTCAACAGAGATGTTAGCATGTGCCAGAGATTTCTTTAAGTCTCTAACTGACACTCTAGGATTCTTCTTCACCTCATTGAGCATTCTGCGCTGTGCTCTTGCAGTCATCTTTACAGGACGGCCACTCCTAGGGAGAGTAGCAACAGTGCTGAACTTTCTCCATTTATAGACAACTTGTCTTACCGTGGACTGATGAACATCAAGGCTTTTAGAGATACTTTTGTAACCCTTTCCAGCTTTATGCAAGTCAACAATTCTTAATCGTAGGTCTTCTGAGAGCTCTTTTGTGCAAGGCATGGTTCACATCTGGCAATGCTTCTTAAGAATAGCAAATTCAAAACTGGTGTGTATTTTTTATAGGGCAGGGCAGCTTTAACCAACACCTCCAATCTCGTCTCATTGATTGGACTCCAGGTTGGCTGACTCCTGACTCCAATTAGCTCTTGAAGAAGTCTTTAGCCTATAGGGGTTTTCCACCCTGCACTGTGAATGTTTACATGGTGTGTTCAATAAAAACATGAAAACATATAATTGTTTGTGTGGTATTAGTTTAAGCAGACTGTGTTTGTCTATTGTTGTGACTTAGATGAAGATCAGTACACATTTTATGACCAACTTATGCAGAAATCCAGGTAATTCCAAAGGGTTCACATACTTTTTCTTGCAACTGGATGTTGATCAAATTATCATTACGTCAAAATGGGTTGTACCATCAAGTACAGTGAATCCAACTCAAATGGAAGAAGTCCTTTGCTTTTCTCGAATTCCAATTGACTTCACGCTTGGCAATGTATTGCTAAAGGACCCAAGGAAGTGCAGTTTAGAGTGCGAAGTCTTGAGATCAATGATACATGTTATAAGTAGTTCCTCATGTACACACAAGTGTATTGAGAGGGGATCCCGTAAACACAACACAAGCAGCCTGTTTGCTCACTGTTAGAACTACAGAAGGTCATACTGAGTACATCTCGCTCTCTGTCGATATTCAACTATGGCCGGTGTGTTGATTAGATAGATACACACTCCTACCACAAGGTGTCGCCACATAGTTGTGACCTATGTTTAAATCCACATGTACGGTAAGGGACCCGAACAAGACCTCTTGATTAAACTTGGCTAACACTTTAGCATGGAGCACGAGTCAGTTCATTAATAGACCAACAAACAAAACATGGTACCAGGAGTAAATTATGATGTAAAATAAAAACACATTAAGTGAGGAGTTGTGACAAGCGACATGGATTCATTAAAGCCACCGGAGACGCTAAAACGTTCGGGAAATGTCGACAGCAACTGGCGGACCTTCAAGCAGCAGTTCCAGCTTTACATCACGGCCATGGGACTGGAAACTAAGCCGGATGCTAGGAAGGTAGCGCTACTGCTAACTATAGCAGGCCCACAGGCGATAGAAGTGTACAATACTTTTGTGTATGAAGAGCAGGCTGATAAAGACAAACTGAATAAAGTGCTCGAGAAATGTGATGCCCACTGCTCTCCCAGAAAGAACGAAACATACGAGAGATATGTATTCCGTTCACGTGTGCAGCAGCATGAGCCTTTTGATAGCTTTCTGACTGACCTGAAGCTAAAAGCACAGTCATGCAACTTTGCTACGCTGAGGGACTCCATGATACGGGACCAGATCGTTTTTGGCGTGGAGGATAAAAAGGTCAGAGAAAGGCTGCTAAGGGAAACGGAGCTGACATGTGAAGCAGCTATAAAAATCTACCATGCAAGCGAGCTGTCCCAAATGCACGTCAGGACTTTCAGCGAGATGGCGGGCGCGGCTAACGTGAGTGATGGCGCAGCAGTTGGTGCGGTCTCCAGCCAAGGCAAATGGCGCGCACAGACGCGGCCTACACAGCGGTCGGAAGAAGGGACATTCAGCTGTAAGCACTGCGGCTCGAAGCACAAACCACGACAGTGTCCGGCATTTGGTAAGCAATGCTCTAATTGCCAGGGCCAGAACCATTTTGATAAGCAGTGCTTCTCAAAAGGAAATGAGAGGAAGAAAGGAAAGTCTGTAAACATAGTGGAAGACGATGATTTAAGTGAGACATTTTTTGTTGGCATGGTGAACTGTGAAACTGAGCAAAAAGAGGTTAATGCAATCAGAGAAGACAAATGGATAGCTCCACTGATGATTAACGGGACAATAATAACTATGAAACTGGATACTGGTGCAAAGCAAACCTGATGAGCCTGTCTGACATCAAGGCAATGAAAGATAAGCCACACATTAAAAAAAAACACAGGCACTAAAAGATTATAATGGAAAGAAAATCAACAGTTTGGGTGTGTGCATATTAAAGGTAACCTCAAAAGGTCAAGTGCACCACCTACTTTTCTCTGTTGTTGCTGATGGACTTGATTCACTGCTGAGTGATAAAGCATGTGAAGATTTGGAACTTGTCAAGAGAGTGTATTGCATCAACACAACTGTGAGTACACCAAATGACTCAATTAATTGTATAGTACAGAGTTATGCAGATGTGTTTAAGGGTTTTGGTGTGTTGCCCTTCACATACAAAATCCAGCTCAAAGAAAATGCACAGCCAGTTGTGCATGCTGCAAGAAGAGTTCCAGCGCCACTCAGAGATCGCTTAAAGAAAGAGCTCGACAGAATGACAATGCTCAAAGTGATAAAAAAAAGTTGAGGAGCCAACAGACTGGGTTAACTCGATGGTCTGTGTAAAGAAGAAAAGTGGTGATTTAAGAGTGTGTATGGACCCAAAAGATCTTAATGAAAACATCAAGCGTGAACATTATCAGATACCCAAGCGTGAGGAAATCACAAGTGAAATGGCAGGTGCCAGCTTCTTCACAAAGCTTGATGCGTCTCAAGGCTTTTGGCAGCTGAAACTGGATGAAAGCAGCACCAAATATTGCACCTTTAATACACCATTCGGCAGATAATGCTTCCTCAGACTGCCCTTTGGGATCATCTCAGCATCCGAAATATTTCACAGAGCGATGGAGCACATAATTGAGGGGCTGGACGGTGTTAGGGCATATGTTGATGACATCATTGTGTGGGGCTCTACACTACAAGAACACAATGAGAGGCTGAAAAAGGTGCTGGAGCGCATACACAAGTATGGACTCAAGCTTAACAAGAGCAAATGCGAGTTTGGAGTTCAAGAAGTTGTCTTTCTCGGAGACAAGCTCTCTGCACAAGGTGTACAAGCTGACCAAGAAAATATCAGAGCCATACAGGATATGCCAAGGCCCACAGACAAGACAGGTGTACTTCGCATTATGGGGATAGTCAACTTCATAGGTAAATTTATTCCAAACCTATCTGCAAAGACATCTTGCATCCGTGAGCTCCTGCACAAAGAAAACGAGTTTAAATGGACAGTCAAACATGAGCAAGAGTGGAAAACACTCGGACAGACACTCACAACTGCACCTGTATTGACATTCTTTGACCCAACAAAGAAGATTAAAGTTTCAACAGATACTTCAAAGGATGGAATAGGCGCAGTGCTCCTACAAGTTGAAGGCGAGCATTGGAAACCAGTGGCCTATGCATCCAGGTCAATGACACAGACTGAGTGCAGATATGCTCAAATAGAAAAAGAATGTCTGGGACTGGTTTATGGCTTGGAGAAGTTCCACAGCTACGTTTATGGCCTACCTTCATTCACAGTAGAGACAGATCCTCATCCACTTGTATCCATCATTAAAAATAATTTAAGTGAAATGACACCAAGGATACAGCGTCTCATGATGAAGATGCAGAGATATGACTTTGAGCTGATCTACACACCTGGAAAGCACCTGATACTTGCTGATGCTCTCTCACGAGCACCTACAGTGGATTATGTGAGTACAACTGAAGAGGATGTGAAAAGTCATGTGAACATGGTGTCTGCTGCGCTTCCTGTATCAGACACAAAGTCCAGACAGATAGCTGAAGAAACAGCAAAAGACACAGAGCTGCAGTGTGTCATTGCAAATATGCAAAATGGATGGCCTGTAGGTTCGTGTCCGCTCTTCTACCACATCAGAGGTGAACTGAGTGTCGAGGATGGACTATTACTGAAACAACACAGGATTGTCATTCCACGCGCATTGAGACAGGAAGTACTAAAAAAAATACATGAAGGTCATCTGGGTGTTGAAAAATGCAAAAGACGGGCGAGAGACAGTGTTTTCTGGCCTGGAGTAAATAAAGACATCGAGAGACTGATTGGTACGTGTGACACATGCCAGACACACAGAAACAAACAGACTAAAGAGCCCATGATAGTGACTGATGTGCCAACAGCACCATGGGATAAAGTTGGAATGGATTTGTTTAATCTCAAAGGTAAAGACTATTTAGTGGTCATTGACTATTACTCAAACTTTCCTGAAATGGCACTACTATCAAACTCATCATCAACATGTGTCATAACTAGGGTTGGGAACCGAAACTCGGTTCCAGATGAGAACCGATAAGAAAATGCCGGGTACCGGGTACCCATACAAAATACACAATTTCGGTTCTGCTTAACGGTTCCTAAACGCGGTAGACCCTGTATTCCAGCGGGTCCGTCTGTGCTGCGGTGACCCGGTGGAATACAGGGCGGACCTGGAGAATCACAGAACGGCCGGTCGTCAGCGGGCCGTTGACGGCCGGCTCGGTACGCTGACGGCCGGCACCGCCCTTCATTTTTTTAAACGGCATCATATAAATTGCGCTGACAGGCGACAGAGGTCCACAGTTGCCCCGCAGCGATGCTCCCCCGCCCTCCCGTAGACATTTCACGAGCTCAGTCACTTCATAACACCAAAGATAGGTCGCGGTAAACACTCTGAAGTGAGGCTCCACTACACTAAAAAATTAAAATAAAAGGCAAAGTGTAATGCCTGTTAATAGCTTGCCACAGGCATAGCTCAGTTAAAATAAAGCACAGCTATTGTGCAATACATTTGTATTGCATGTATATTTTTTAGTAACAATTTCAGTTAAAGCTTTTAAGAATAAATATATTTTTGTTATCTAAACGTTTGACCTCTTTATTTTACAATTTTGGAATCGAAACGGGGAATCGATAAGAACCGGAATCGATAAGCAGAACCGGAATCGAAATCGGAATCGATAAATTTCAAACGATACCCATCCCTAGTCATAACACATTCAAAATCAATTTTTGCAAGACATGGCATACCTAACACAGTAGTGAGTGACAACGGACCGTGTTTCAACAGCAGAGAGTGGCAAGAATTTGCAGAACAGTATGACTTTAAACATGTGATCTCAAGTCCTCATTATCCACAGTCAAATGGGAAAGCTGAAAAGGGAGTTCACATTCTCAAGCAACTTCTAAAGAAAGCTGATGAGAGTGGCTCAGACCCATACCTCACTTTACTCAGCTACAGAGCCTCACCTCTGGAGTGTGGACTGTCACCTGCTGAACTTCTGATTAATCGTAAGTTGCGCACCACACTGCCAAGCTATTCAAAGCAAAAGAGACACCCAAAGCTGCAACACCAACTACAACAACAAAAGATGAAGCAGAAAACATGGTATGACAAAACAGCTAAGCAGCTTCCATTGCTATCAAGTAATGACACAGTCAGGATTGAGGGTCCTGATGGATGGAGAACTAAAGCCACTGTTCTTCAGGAAGTAGCACCGCGATCTTTCACTGTGAGGACAGAGAAAGGACAAACCTTCAAACGCAATCGTCGCAGTCTTATGAAAACAAAAGAAGCTGGTCAACAGCTCAGTGAATCCATCATTGAGTCTGAGTTCACACCTTCACCACAGACAGACTGTGATACTAACACTCCAAGTGAACATGTGGTCAGAAGATCTACAAGAGAAATCAGAAAACCAGATAGACTGAATCTGTAATTGAGAGACTGATTTAATGGATGTTAAAATGGTGTAAATGTTTAGACAATTTCCAAGTTTGTGCTAGTTAGCATTCTGAGTACATTTAGACCAGATGTTTATTTGTTATGGCATGGTAGAGAAATCAAAATGTTTGGTTAAAATTGATGTTGCACTATTTGTTTATATTACCTCAAAGAAAGGGGGATGTGTTGATTAGATAGATACACACTCCTACCACAAGGTGTCGCCACATAGTTGTGACCTATGTTTAAATCCACATGTACGGTAAGGGACCCGAACAAGACCTCTTGATTAAACTTGGCTAACACTTTAGCATGGAGCACGAGTCAGTTCATTAATAGACCAACAAACAAAACAGCCGGTGTATTGCTCAGCATAAGAGGAATCGAGACTCAATTTTGAAGTCGGCCCGATGAGCGGTTCTCAAGAAAGCTTTGAAGGGGCAATTTTGCAAAATGACACAAACAATCAAGCTATAATGTTAAGCTAACTACTGTAGTCACATTGTTATTGGTCCAAACACGGTCATCTTTGAAGCCGATATTGCTGACAAATGTTACCTTGATGCAGTATATTTGCTTTCTGCCAATTGAAAAGGTTTACATTTCAGAGTCTTAATGACAGGACTTGCTATAAGCTGGCAGGTATTTCGAACAAAAAGCAAGCTTTTACTCAACAAAATGTGATAAAGAAAAAGTACATACATGGGAGGGCATGAGTGACAAGGGCAGGAACACGGGCAGGACCGCAGGGAAACAGAACAGGAACTGTATAGACGACGATGTGACAAAGAACACAAGGGGAGACAGGCCTATACACAAGACTAATCACAAAGACAAGAAACACCTGGGGCCTATACTACGAAGCTGGTTCAACCTAACCTGGATATGTTTGAGTTAGCCGGTTGGCCTAATCCAAAACATACGCGCTCTCGCTAAACTGTACTACGACGCTGGTTATCAAGTGGATCGCTCAAGCCAGCCGTGTCCTATCTAGTTAGGTGCGCGTTCACATGAAAGGGGTGGTATTTGGAGCATTCGACCAATCACAAACATGGAGAAGCATACTGACAGTGCAGCGTCATACTTCCTGAATGAAAAGTCAACTATAATATTAGACAAATGAAGAAGTTAAACTTTAAACATCCATGACTTAAACACTTTATCCAGGATAAAAGCCACATAGCTGCACCTGCAGGGTGAATATAGCTGGTAAAAGAACAAGTGTTTGAATGCGTACATTAACAGGTTTATGATATCACTGCCCCGTCCAAGACACGAGTGGATCTGACTTTAATTACATTTGTCTCGAGTGTTTCGTCAACTTAATGTGTTGCTTAAAATAATACTTCTGCATACAGTATGTGACACTGAGTGTTGCACGGCCAGATACGGCTCAGTTGACTCGGATAAGGAAATATATGATACATTATGAAGTGATATGCCGCGGACTGTACTTAATGTTACTCTGATCCGGTTACTTTTGTTGTGGCAGATATTTAAGTAAGCTTTCTTAACGCTAATGTTATAATAGTCAGATTGCTCTGAAGATGGGAGGTGATATTCTATTAATGTTCACGTTCACACAGTCGGTGATTTTTGCCGGCCGTCTTTCCTGCATCGGCAGCTTTTCTGTATTTCCTTTCTCCTGTAATATGACTTGATCGCTTTAAACTCCGCACACTGAGCTCTGATTGGTCAGCAGGCAGTGCTTTCACTGAGTTGAGCTCTTAGCCTGCAACCTAACCTGGTCCCGACCAGGGGGGTATACTACGAAGCAGGATTTTCGTTTAGCAAGATAACTTCTGGGATTTCCGGTACTATGAAGCTGGTTCACTTTTTAGCGGGCTAGATCTCCATGGTGATTTATCCTGGAACCTAGTCTGTGCTCCGAAGCAGGATATGTTCCAGGATAAGAGCTCAACTCAGCAAAAGCACCACGCCTACTGTCCAATCAGAGCTCAGTGTGCGGAGGAAATACAGGAAAGACGGCCGGCCAAAATCGCCGACTGTGAACGTGAAAATGATTAGAATATCACCTCCCATCTTCAGAGCAATCTGACTATTATAACATTAGCGTTAAGAAAGCTTACTTAAATATCTGCCACAACATAAGTAACCGGATCAAAGTAACATTACCTAGTCCGCGGCACTGTGAGTGCAGACGTCAATATGTCCCATTATCATTCATATCACATCATAATGTATCATATATTTCCTTATCTGAGTCAGCTTATTGAGCCGTATCTGGCCGTGCAACGCTTACAATGTCACATACTGTATGCAGATGTATTATTTTAAGCAACACATTAAGTTGACGAAACACTCGAGTCAAATGTATTTAAAGTCAGATCCACTCGTGTCTTAGGGCAGTGATATCATAAACCTGTTAATGTACGCATTCAAACACTTGTGGCTTTTATCCTGGATAAAGTGTTTAAGTCATGGATGTTTAAAGTTTAACTTCTTCATATTTGACTAATATTATAGTTGACTTTTCATTCAGGAAGTATGACGCTGCGCTGTCAGTACGCTTCTCCATGTTTGTGATTGGTCGAATGCTCCAGATACCACCCCTTTTATGTGAACGCGCACCTAACTAGATAGGACACGGCTGGCTTGACCGAACGAGTTGATAGCCAGCGTTGTAGGACAGTTTAGCGAGAGCGGCTTTGTTTTGGATTAAGTCAACCGGATAACTCAAAACATATCCAGGATAGGTTGAACTAGATTCATAGTATACCCCCCTGGTTAGCCGCTAAGCATAAGTTACCATGGAGATCTATCCTGCTAAAAAGAGAACCAGCTTCGTAGGACCGGAAAGCCGGAGTTTTCCCTGAATTTAGCCGGCTAAGCGAAAATCCTGCTTTGTAGTATACCAGCCAGGTAGCTAAAATCACAAACACGGATCACATGGTGAGCCTTGCCGAACATTGAAAAGGTTCAACCGAGTTGTTGAACTCAAGCATAACATTTGCTGACATAATGGAAGAAAATTGCCCATTTGTGGGGTTAATTTTGAATTGTGCTAGAATAATACTAAATGAAAATGTGTCATCAAACTTCACCACCTTGTGATGTGTATACAAAGCTAATTTTCTACAAACCAACCATTGCAATCAGTCTCAGGACACATTTGAGTCTTGTAGCCCAATTGCTGAGTCATCCAGTTGTTCACAGGTTTTTTATTTATTTGTGAGTCACCTTTAATTTGATTTGTCCTGTATATCTTGTGGGTAGAATCAGGGGCGGCGGGTGCTGTAGGCTAGGGAAGGCTAAGCCCTCCCAAATATTTGTGTCACTGCATCCTGGTAAAATACAAATATGATGTAGGCTATAATG